GCTTCAATCCAGCAGAGTGGTAATTGCAGCCTTAACCCAGCAAAGCATACATAAAAGCGATCTTATGAGCAGTTGAATTGATTTTAGTGAAGTATAGATACGTTTAAGATATTCATACACTTAAATGCTTTGCCTGAGTATGGTTTAGATGAACAGCATCACTGTTATTAATCAACCTTATCAGCCTGTCTAGCAATGCAATAGAGCCAGCACAAAGTTAATGTAATTGCTAAGTCATTGGAAATACGACAGGCACAAGTCTATGAAATGATCTTGTGAAAGCATTTGTCTGAAATTAGTTTTTTTCCCCTCCAAATTATCTCATATTTCTGACCAATGAGAGAACTGACTATTCTGTACAAAAATGAAGAAATCAAATAAAACTAAACATGCTAAATTATTAATTAGATTAATAGGTGATACCTCTCAAAAGTACTTCTGAAGGAAAGATTGTTCAAAGATCAGGTGCAAAAGTTTATGCATTTGACTAATGACAGAAAAATATTATTATTCATATATCTTATTAGTCTTAAGTAACATCATTTTAATTAAAATCAATGCCCACTAAATTTCTTGAATGGCATTTAGCAGCGATAAGGAAAACAATACACATTTCCTGTAAACACTTTGTTGCACATAATTATCAATAATTATCAATTCATTTACTTAAATACCCAGCTTGTGTTACAATAGTCAATGAGGCTTGTGCTATACAACAAATTAGATTTCTTACAACAAGTGTGATAACAACATGGGGGCTTATACTGAAAAATCAGGACATGGTGTAGAGCCCAGCAGTTAAAATGATTACTCAGGATCCAGGCAGCACTAAACTCCACTGCCCGAGATGGGCATCAAGAGGTGGGTGCTGACAAAATGCTGTGGGACCTGGAGCCATTTGTGTTGACTAATCAGGTTTTATTCACATCCCAGTCGAAAGAACAAGAAGCAACCATTTCCAGAACTGCCTGATTTAGGAGATTGGATCTCATTTCAAAGCTCCTTGAGTATTCAAAGTAGTATGCAAACCTAATGACACTTAATCTACAAGACCCATGTTGGGTTTTTTTGAAACAAATCAAAAGATGCATAAAGTTCTATTAGGTGTCTCAATACTCTTAAAATGAACCTCAGTATGTATCTGTGGTATATGTATCAGTATGTATATGTGGTCCTCGGTAACTCTGAGACATAGTCTAGTTCATTTCAATGTTCTTTTTCTCACTTCAAGAATGTTGTTTAGAGGATTCTGAATTCAATGCAAAGCCTTTTATTATATCAGTGATTCTGAATATAATTTGTTTAAAAAAAAAAAAAAAAATCGTGCATATCTCAGTTTGCAGACAGTGTTGAGAACACAAGCACCAGATTTTATTTACACACTCTTCCTAAGTCAGGCTATTTAAGATCTCTTATGAAAACCTCTATCTCTTCTCACTGCATCCCAAAGGCTTTAGGCCTTTTAGAAATAAGCTGTGCACAGGAGCATTATCAATATTTCTTCAGCATTTGCCTTAAGTGAAGAAGGCAAAGTTTGTAAAGCTGCTGTTTTCCCTCAGGGAATTACATAGGCACTTTACCTCAAAACTTTCTAAACCTGCTATAGGATTGCTGTTGTAACCCTGATGCAAGGATATCAGAGAGGCAGAATTGAGAATCTTTCATTAAGCCAACAGAGGTGGAAAAATGCCTGGCTGAAAAGAAGCAGTCAACCTTCAGCTAAATAGGGGCTGCAAACAATTTCTCCAAGTTTAACACAAGGAAGCTAACAATTAAACAACTTAATGATCTTTTCTCCTTGTTTCAGATTATTATCTTTATATTAAGACCTTAAGCCTCTGCAGCAGGATGCGAAAAAATGCCAGGCAAGAACTGTGAGAAGGTAGTTAAAATGAAAATGGAGAATATTAAAACGTCCCCTAAAATCAATATCTCTACTTAATCCATGGAACTATTGCTTTTGTATCCAGTAAAATTATATACTTCTCTTTCCTAGGCTTTGTTCTGAAGATATTTTCTAAGTCTACCATGAGAATTTGAAGATAAACTACTGAATGACAAATATTTTCATTCAGTTGTTTCTATCACTTGCTGAATTGTTCAGTTCCATCTACAGCGAATGATTTTGCTATCACTGCTGTCATTGGTACATTTGGTAGTTTGGGCGATCTTTATTTTGCTTCAAGATGACCATATGAAGACTCCATGAAGTACAAAGGCATGTTTTACTTAGCTTGAATTCAGATAGGTAGGTATCCACTAATCTTTTTTTTCCTATGTTCATATGCTTAACAAAAATTTCTAGGCAATTTGTGGAACAGTCCCTAATTAATGATGCTCATGACAATAGCAACATGGTTTCTTCCTTTACAGAAAAGAAAAGGATAGACATTATATAAACCACAATCTTTCTGTAAATCTTTTCCTGTGATTGAGCCAGGATAATTAGATCTAGTCTTGCCAAAACCACCAGCAACATAATTCTGTGAAACTATCTGGGGCTGAAGGCCCCGATTTCAGAAGTAAACATAATATTTACATTCATTAGCCTAATGGAAACATAATAAAGATGTAGAATAAAGTATAGTCTTTTATAAAAGCTGCTTATATTCTGTTCAAGTGACTTTAATATATTTTTCAGCTCTACATTAATGGTTTTAACAATAATACACCAATTTTTTCAACTAAGAGGAAGACCCTCAACTCATATGCCTTGTGTACAAATTTATAGTAAAAGGTCTTTCTCATCTCAAACAGTTTAGTATCCAAATAAGCAACATGAGAAAGGGAAGGAAGTTGTCTCCAGCACACGTGGGACAGGCCAAAATACACAGATACAGTCTATCTACGTGTGAAATGATGACGGAGTGAACAACTTAGCCTAATCAAAGTTACAGGTCAGGGATTTATGAAAATGAACCCAAATTGTTTATTGTTTGTAAGACATTCAGTGTGCAATTTTCTTAACGTCTCCAAAGCAAAGATTAACCCCAACAAACTATAGATAACTAATGTGTCAATCTTTTTCCTAAGCAAAGGTGTGTAATGCCATATGAGATGTTTGGTTACCAAGGACATCTGCAAGATTGTGGCCGATTCAGTGCAGCACCTGCAGAAAATCTACAGACATTGGAATCTCAGCAGCAGGGCAGATGCAGTGGCCTGCAGCATCTCAGATTGCTTAGATGTCTACGATGATACCGTAAGTGAAAAACATGTATTGGTCATCTGCATTTTCTATGCTGTCTCTATAATCAGAATAATGAGATACTGATCTTCAGTAGGACAAACAGCTCTCTGGAGATGCCACTCTTTCTCCACTGACTTTGTAGAGAACCTTGGCCAACTGTGCCCCTGAAGAAGGTTCGGCATTTAGGCATTGTGTTATTTTTTTCCACATGGTTTTTGTTGTCTTTTAGAAAATGTATCCTATCTAGCCTTAGGCAAAAGGCTCAGTGTTTTTCATTGCTATTTTGTTTTGATTTTTTTTTTCTCCATAATCTTGTATTTATTCCTTAATTTAATTATTTAATTATTTATTTTAATGGTTTAAAAAAAAAAAGCTAGGTGTACATGAAAAACAAAACAACTGAATAAATAAACGGATGAACAAAAAACACCGCCAAAAAACCCTACAGCATTACTTGCATCTTCATCAGAGAGCAAACCACACTTAGGAAAAATGTTATTCTCAGCAACTAAGTACCAGATTTAGCTTTGAGTACCCAGGCTTCAAAACAGCAAACCACTTCCACAACTATTCAATCATTTGTGAAGCATGTCTGAAAGCATTTACAGCTGAAATAACTATAATAAAATTATTCTAATATGTGCTGAATAAAAGGTAGATATGTATTTCTTTTAGAGGACACAGGCAAAATAATTATTCCAATAAGAAAAATCCAGGACTTCTAAGCTTGTTTCTACTCCTGTAGACACATGTTATTCAAGGACATTTATACATCCAAGCTGTGAAGAAGACAGCTCCAGACTTGTCTAACCTATGCACCCATCTCTAACTGAAGAACTGAATATTACACACACTGACAGGTCCACACATGCATCTATTCTAGAACAGAAGAAAATTACAGGATTTTTTTTGTTTGTTTTTTTTAACCTTCACACAAATCTCTTCAAGATTTCTTGAAGTCTTTATCTTTCTTGCTCACTTACTGGCTATGTTTCATCAGTACACAAGAAAGACTAATTTGTAACATTTCTCTTGGATTGACTTTCTGTTGATTAATTGTGGTATGTATTCATTACAGAAATGTGGCATTATATGTTGCATATTTTGACTTCCATTGTGTTTTAGATTGCTGTCTGTTAGCATACATGTAACCATGCTAACTAACTGTTTGCATATTTATGAAAACACAGGGGAAATCTTAACAGAATAACATCAAGTCAGAGTGGAAAATTCTTATCTTACTCATCCTTCTTCCCTTTCCAGAACTCTTGGGTTTTTAAATTCAAGACAAAAATATCTAGCATGTATTTCTACATCTTCTAATGTATTGTAGGACTTCTAGCATATGCAACAACACAGCCCATAGAAGAACATTATCTAAAAAAATGAGTACAACATATAATAAAAAGAATGTATTTTACAAATATGCCTGTGCTATTGGTTTAGCATTTCTTCTGCAAGACATATTTTTCAAATAGTTCAAGTTTTCCTATCCAGACACTCATAGGCAGTGCTTTTACATTATATTCTTACATGATATATATGTATGTGTTAATAAGAATCTGGGAACAAAAAGCTGTATTTACTTGCATGAATATAACTTGTGACTGGATTCAGAAGGAATGTCACAGTCCAATAAAGTCTTTTCACTGTGCATTCTTCTTACCAAAGAGAGCTCTATTTTTGAACATGGGTGAGATGGCCAAAGACTGGGATTATTATCTGCTAATAACTTCTGTCTAAATTGACAATTACTACAGATGAGTTACTACAAACCTGGTTCATCTGAGATGAAATGCATATTCTTTGCAATGACATGGTCTAAAAGAAAAGGTTTAAAATCTTTGAATGTTTCAGTCCTATAAAAAGCATTTCTATCAGGCAATATTCACTTTAAGAAAATCTATGGCTTTTAATTCTTAAAAAAATACATTTTTTTCTCTAACAGAGTCACAGAATCGCAAGGTTGGAAATGACCTACAACGCATACATACAGCCCCTTTTCAGCTTTTTCGGAGTGATGCCATGTTAATCTAGTGAAGGTCAGTCTGAGAAAACTCAACTAACAAAGAAAGTGCTCTTAGGAATCACATCACGTCATGTCAGGCTCACAGATAAATGGGCATTAGCTATAGATAGAGATACTTACCAGTTCATCAAATTCCTTCATATGTCTGGTATTTTATCTTGGATTATGTACTATTGGGTTCAATTTATTATTTTGTAAGTTATTAGTTTGTAATTGCTTTCATATATTTGTACAATAAATACAGAAGGAGTGAGTGTAATCTGAAGCACAACTGAATTTTCTCTCCCTCTGCTACAATATAGATAATCATGATTTATTACGATAGGCAGTAATTTGCCTGCAATGAATCATATTTTATCAAGAAGTAAAATATGAATTTTTATCTCTGAAGAATTCTCTGTGCTTTTTTTTTCCTTCTTTGTGTTTCATTTGTAACTTTTCTTTATGGCTTGGGAGTGTCATGACTCAGAAACGCACTAGAGCACAGGTATGCTGACAGATTTGCTTTCTGTCATTTCATTTAAATGAAATCAATTTTCTATACCTTTAGATGATACATTCCCGAGATGTACCTTTCCATTTTTAAATATCTTCTGGTTTTCCTTCAGTTGTGAAGTAATTTGTTCCACCACACTACAAAAATATATACTATGTATCAAAACTTAAAAAAAAAGTAGAAGATTATTTTAGAAATTGTTACAATTTTTTTTTTTTTAATTCAAGAAAGTGTCATAAACTGCTTACTGTGCGTACACAGACAAAATAGATAACTCTATTCTAAATATATGAATGAATGAATAATTTTTTATGTATCTTATGCTACTAAGGATGAATTTGATCAACTAAATATTAGTTAAATTGATGATGTTTCCATATGAATTTCTAGACTAGATGAGGAATCAGTCTTACATCTTATATTCTGAAGCTAAATAACTTCTTTTTTTTTCCCCTATATATTTGACTACTCTAGCTCAAATTTTGGACTGTATGTTTTAAAGACAATGTGAGATTTAATAGCTAATGGAAGAGTGGACAGATTTACATATCCTTTCTTCTCTAACTCCTTCCAATCTTTAGGGAATGTTTGTCACACCACCATTCAGAGTATTTGGAAAGTAGCCTGACTCACATTTTGGCATGATTATGAGGAGACCTGCATCATATGGCTGTCTCCCATTTTGTTTCTTCAAAATACTTTTGTGTATTCATTTCATCTTGGCAGGTAGGACTGTTTTATGGTGCTGCAGACTGTTTTACTTGATAAGAAGCACTAAAATAGTAGAAGTTTCACAGAAATAGTGAAAAATATAAAAGCTGGGATAAAGAGATCCAATGATATTTGGAACGAGTTTTCACCTCAAACAGTAAGTGAATGTTCCTTGAGTTGTTTGAGGAAGAAACAAGGGATGTTATTTCTTTCTGGGCTGGTCTAAAAGAGGACAGCTATAATCGTTCACATACACACGTTCTTACCGGTTTGCTAAAGTGAAAAAGACAATATATAGCACCACAGAATCACCAAGGTTGGAAAAGACCTCCAAGATCATCTAGGGCAACCATTCACCTACCATGTACCTTATATGTTAGTTTATGTACTGGGAATTGAATGAAAAAATAGTGAACGCTTCAGTATACAACATGTAAGCTAGTCTGGGAAAAGCATTTCAGCTGGAAGGCTAAACAGTATTGAAATAAATAGCCTGAAAAGTTTGTGAGACCAACATCTCATTAAGAAAAGGGTAGGCAGACATGTCAGACATTTGTAGGACTGATCTTGACTTTAGTTTAGAGCTGAACTAGATAAACTCTCTGATTCTTTTCTAGACTTGTAGTCTAAGATTTGAAATTGAGCTCACAGGTAAAATATAACAGAAGGACTCTGAATTTCCTTCTTAAGTGCCACTATATGAAGGACCAGAAGTTCACAGGATTTCCTAAATTAGGTAAATTTATTCTAATATTCTAATTTCAGTGAAGTCCTGATCCTTACCGACAGAGAGAATGCTGGAATTCATTCTCCTTCAAAAACAAAGAAAGAACAACAAGGGAATGGGAAGGATTTTCATTCATGACTGACTGAGAGACTGGGAAAGGTAATCAGGATTTTTTCATTCATTCCTTTAAAAGATGGTGGTTTTTGTGATTATTCCTCAGTTCTGTGTGCACACATTACAGAAAAATCTCATAGGCTTTTGCAGATAGATATCTAAACATACTGCAAGATAAGTTCCTGTTTCAGCTGTCCAGTTCAAACTCTGGATCAGAGCCAGAATTACTGCATTAAATTCAACTTTCAGAATCATATTTAGCTGGAATGGATTTGACTTCAGAGAAGCTATACAGGAACAAGTGAGTATGCACAACTTATTAGCAGACAGAAATAGATAAACTCAGTTGATGTGGACTATTTATAGAAAATAATGTTACATTAGCAGCTTGTCTGAGAGCAGATATTTACTGTTTTCCATTTCATATTCACTTAAGTACACAAGGAAAGCAGTCCAAGCTCTCTTTGGTAATGGCAGGGAGTAGTAGAAAGTGTCTCACCTAATAGCAGAAAGTTTGATGGTCACATAACTAACCCTTACTTCTTGGCCTTTGGAAGGAAAATGTAACATACTGTAATAAGTTACTGTTTCTAAAAGGACAGGTGTGCATTGGGCACTGCAGAAACTGCAAATACAAATGAAAAAACAATAATAATCTGAATCTTTGAATCTTGAAGCCTTTACAGTTTAAGGAGACTGCAAAGATTTAAGTGTGTACCTCAATGGCACATGTATTGATCACTGTCACATTCCTCCCTTGACTGCAGCAGGTTTAGTACTACATGAACTTTTGAGACGGACAAATAAAAGATAAATAACAAGAGCGTAACATTTCAAACCAAACAAATCTAAATTAAATTCGCATTTTTTTTATATGAGTCCTGTACATTTCTGGCTGTTACTTCTGAGCAAATTCCAATACCTTTTTAGTGATGACAGAAGCTGTGAGCCTGCTACAGCAACCTGGGACACTCTGTATACTTGCTTCCATTTTTTTGCCTTGTTGCAATTGTTCAGAGAACACACCACAGACTGACATCTGAGGATATGTTTTTCTCATAGAATACACCAGGGCTGGCTAGCTGAGAAGAGAAAGCTTTAAAGGGAAGGCAGGTTGACTTCAATGGAAGTGCTCCATGACTAAGGTGAAGATTTGACCCAGAAAGGTCTGCATGTTTCTGAACAAACTGAATTATCTTTTGCGCTTCTCAAAGATGGATTGCTTAAAAAAAAGTGTAAAAGTTTATCTCCCAGATCACATTTTTGAAAGAAATTATTTTCTGCTATTCTCCATTTAAAAAAAAAAAAAAAAAAAAGCCCTCCTATTTTACTTCTGCACTGCATGGAAATTTTAAACTCTAAGCTTTTCTTGTAAAGCAGTGAATTACTTCTGACAGTTCTTTATTGTTTCGATTGTTATTAATTCCACATTTACCTCTTTTCATGCATCTCTTGATTCCCTTCTCTTGCACAGTCAAAACATGTACTTTCTAAGCAGCTGCTTAGCATATATGGCCTTATACTTGTGTTATGGGCATTTGTAAGGAAAATAAATACCACAATATAAATGAGGGTACAAACTGTGCTTGATCATGAATAGTCAAGTCCTGTTGCTTCTCTAAAAGCTAAATTGTCTCCATTCTGGCTCAGTAATACTTTTATCTATAAAAATAATATTTTCATCATTCTGAAATATTTTTTAATCTACTGAATTTATTGCACTTTGTTCAGGATTATTTGATCAATACAGTTTAATTAAGTTAGTACTTAAAATATTTTTCATATCTGCTGACATATTTTTAAGTATTTGGGCATATTTCAGAATACTTAATCTATTTCTGCTGATTTCAACTGTTCACCATATTTAAATGATTTTTGTTCCACATCCTACACGTCTTTTCTTTGAAAATTTTATAGAAGAACAAGTCCAAATTTCCATCTATCTAACGCTGATTTCTACTGCCTACAAACTGCTGATATTATAATATTATGTTTTAGCTTGTTTTAATGTATTGATTAAATTCAATATTGTAAAGTTAAATAGTTAACAGTATCCAAATAGAAGAATATTCTGTACAGATGTCATTTTTTCATGCTGCATTTATTTTTCAGTTCAGCATATTCCTCCTAATCCTGAAACACATCCTATAACTGCTTAAAGGTGACCAGTTAGAAAAAGAAACAGAGAGAGATGCATTATAAAAAGTGAGCTAATAACATTAAAATGTGGGAAATCATTTTCAAAAAGTCTGAATCTAGACTTGTGCTTTATAAATCACAACCTAGAAGAGGCTGGGGATTCAGCCAGATCTCATTAATTGCACAGGAATAGAACCATAAAGACTGAAATTTATGTAAAACCAGTTCAGCGGCCTACTCTTTTATGGGAACTATTTGGAATCAATCTGTATCTGCAACTCTTCTGTGGGAAATGAGTAGAAGAGCTACAGCAGGTGCTCTAAAGTAATAAGGGATTTCCTATGAAACTCAGTGGACTGATGACTCACCAGTTTAATTATGGCCTACTCTTCTGTTATAAAAGCAGAACAATTATTTTTAAAAGGCTCTTGTTGAGTAAATGAGTTTGAACAGAAAATCTTTCATAGGGAAAAAAAAGGTACCCATATTTTATTTTAAGGAGTTGAAGATTTATAGAGAATGTCTGCAGACTGCCGTACTGATTAGTGTTGTCTGAGTGCTCCTGAGTAACTAGAGAGATTTAAAGTAGCTGTTTTTATGCAGTCTGCCTTTTCCTTTTTGAATTTCTGATATATTTTCTCTCTGTTCAGCTGTTTGCCTTATTCCTAAATTTCATATATCCCAGTGAGACAATGCCGTAGTTCAGTTGGACACTGATTCAGTTGCAGCATTCATTGCTATTGCTGTCACTAAAATTACTATTTCCTCCTCTTACAACACAGCTCACTTTCAGCAGGTTGCACGTCCGGAAAGTAAGGCAGGCTTTACAAAATGGTGAACTACCTCCTGTTGCCATCAATGAGAATTTTATTGTTTACTAGGATGACCAAAATCTTTCGCCCAAGAAAATGCAAAATAAGATCTTACATAACTACATCTCTGCTATAAACAATACACACCTCAGATCTGATGAGAGGATAATTGATCTCCTTGGTTTTGAATTCCACTACGTTGGGCTGCAAGAAATAGCAGCTATTCCTCAGAATCCACCCGGAGCAATGGAGTCTGCATCAGTCCTGCAAACGTATCTTCCTCCTATGACCCTGCTGCAATAAGCTCTGCAGAGAATAGAAAAGATGTCTGTTAAAATGTTTCTCTTTTCCTTTTTCCAGCTGCAATTATCTGCAGTGACTGCACTAGAAGGACACCTGAGAGTGAGTTCTTTTCCTGGAATTAGAAAGCAGGGGTGAATGTGACGAAGACTCAGGCCTTGATATTAAGGAAGTCATTTATATAAAATGCAGCATGCCATCCCAACAACTGATAAAAACTCAGAGAGTCATGACAGCTGAAACAGAAACATCTGCCTCTTTACAACACTCATTGCAAAGTAGTAGTTTCCAGTGAAAATTCCTGTGACAAAAGTGAAGGGGCTGTCTGCTATTCAGGGTATGGCAGATGGCAGTGGGTCATGTAGCGTAGCTCCCTGATGCTGTTCATTTTCTAAGCTGGTTGGTTTCATTTGACAGTTCTACTCAGAAATCATTAACCTGATTTGCCCGTGTCTGTCATGTCTCTAGCATAATGCATCTTCACGATATAAGGTAAACTGGGTACCTGGAGGGTAAAGGAAATAAAAAAGACTCATAGCCTATATAAATCAAAAGAAAAAGGAGAAAAGGAAGCCACTTAGAAGAGCAGGTGTCATTGATTGACTGTAATTTTAAAGGGTCTTTCTTATGATGGACAAATTTCTGAAGTGTTCATTAACTAATGGAATTATGGTGGCTGACTGCTGATGTCTCCACAGAACATCAGGTTAAAAAGCACAGATAAATAATGGGTTTTCCTTTATCACAGATCGGTGTCCTCACTGTCTGGAGCTTGTGTGAGATGCTGGAAAGGATCAAAGGGCTTTCATTACTGAAATTCATGTTTATGTTTGTCTGTTCCTCAATAATAGTATGCATATGCACAAAGGAATAGGAAGGGGAAAAGAAAGGAAGATGGAAATGTTGCCAGCAGAGAAGAAAATTCTTCAGAAATGCTTCATAATAAATGCATTTCCTACTGCAAAACACCAAATGAAACTGAACTCAGGGGGTTAAACAATAGAGGCATAGCACCTGGGCTTTCATATATTCAATTATCCAGAAAACAAAATCAATTTTGTTTTTGTTAATAGCACTGAAATATGCATTACACTATTTTAATTAAAGCAGTCTATTACGCTTGCCATTCAGTTCATTCCTGCATATTCCCCTAGGGCAGTAGTCATGTACTGTGATAAAACATAATGAAAATAATTTATAAAAGAAACAATACAATAAATCAATCTGATGCCTAATGAACCTTCATTACAAGCATGGATGCAATATTTTCTTATAATATGTAGTGCTTTCTCCTTAAATTATTGGAAGAATGCCTCAAAGCACTTAAAAAAATAGCACCTTTCTTCATCTCAGCATGCATTCAAAGCATCATATCTTAAAATTTCAGCAGATCTTGGCAAAACAAACAGCAATCCCTTTCATTTACACTACCTTTCTGTTTTTTTCTCTTATCTTTAGTTAGATTCATCTGCCTCATAGTGACACCTGTAGAGACCACAGGGATTTCACTCATTTGCATACTTTAGCAGTCAGCTCTTTATTGTCTGTATTCCAGTAGGCCTAAATTTTATAGGTGAGATAATTTTATGTCTGGGGACGTGAGCTATTCAAACATCAAATATAAAACAAGCTGTTCCCTGAAGATCTCACAGTGCCAGCAGGCAAACAGAAAGCTAAAAGGTGAGAGAGAGGGGCCATTAACATTTTCATACCAGACAAATGAAGAAGGGCAGTGAGCAGAGGTGATGTATTCTAAAGGATTCTGGATGCTACCTCTGAAAGACCAGAAATCTACTGGAAGAACAGATTTCATCAATGACTATGCAGAATGTCCATGGCCCAGCCCAGTCCTTCCATCCTCTATATGTTCACCATGTCATGAGAATCTTCTACATATGCTGCTGCAAGGTTAATTTCTACCTCATCTTGCTCTCTTGTACAGGGTAGCCATAATTCTGGCAGCTGTGAATAAATAGTTACTCAATGGGAATTCTCAGTGCCACAACTGAGCCTTTAATAGACCTGAAGTTCCTGTGTAGGAATTCAGAAATAAAAACTATTGCTCTGGTTATTTATTATTTTTTCAGGAAAAATTGGATGTAAAGAAAAATAATGGTTCAAGATAAATAGTATCAATTACTTAAACACTGTTGGAGAGCAGTGCCAGAGCTATTAGCTTCTATGCGCTTGTCTCCTCTTGCACCAAACCACAAAGCTGCTCTAGAGTACCGCAGGACAAGCTGCTGAAGCAGTTTGCAGAGACACTCCAACACATTCCAGGCAGGCACCCAGAGGAGCAGTGCTAGCCAGCTGCCGAAATGGCCTGGCAGGAGTTCATTCCAGAGGCGTCTGCTGGTTGGGAGCATACCCACTCACAGGAAGCTGCTTTGAACCCTAACACCCAGTTCATACTGGGGTACAAATTCAACAGGAACAAGAATCATTGTCAGCAACAGCTAACAGCCACTACTCCATACCATCTTGTGTATGTGAGGAATAGTGTCTCCTGGCTGGCCAAGGTACTGTTGCTAGTCCTGTAATTGCTGTTGGATTAGAGTGATGAGGTGCTGGAACAGGCTGTCCAGGGAAGTTGTGGATGCCCCATCCCTAAAGGGTTCAAGACCAGATTGGATGGGGCCCTGGGCAGCCCAGTCTAGTATTAAATGTGGAGGTTGGTGACCCTGCATATGGCAGGGGGGTTCATGATCCTTGATGTCCCTTCCAACCCCGGCCATTCTGTGATTCTGTGTTGCAGGTAGCTGTTACAGGCTTGTCCTCTAATCTGGGAGAGAGGGTATAAAGTCCTTGGAAGCATGCTAATATGTGCAGTATTAAACTTGTCTAAAGAAGCCACAGATCCCGAGGTTACTACCAGCAGCCTTAGGTTGACAAAAAAGACAAGCTGACTGTTCTGTGGTTCTATAAATACTTTATCACAAATTTTTATTCCTTTTGCCTATAAAACAAAAAACATTTTGCTGAAATAGGTAAGCAAACTTAAAATGGTCAGAAAAAGCTCACGCAGACAAGCAGGTAACATAAATTCTTTGCATTTTCTCTTGGTATTCATAGTTTCTGCCATATGTGACTTTTTTTCTAGCTGAAAAATCATTTTACTTGTCAGAAATGGTGTTCATGTATGAAAAACTACCCTAGATGGAAAAAAGTGATTTTGAGTGTTACTGTTGCCATTGTTTGCTCCTCTAGCCCACAGTTTTCTGACTGCTACACTGGTTTCAGTAGAAAAAGTAATGATTTTGCTCCATTTTGAATGGCATTAGCACAAAAGAAAAAGAAAGCCAATGATTCCATTCAGATTTTAGATTCCTTTGTTTCAATAGATCTTATCTTTCTAAGTAAAATAAGTGGAAAGCATTAGCTGTCACTTGTTTTCCCTTTTAATAATCAGTAGCTTATTTTAGGTAGATAGAACAGAAATGGATAAGGATATAAAATCTCAAGTATCACAGTAAAAGCTACTGTTATTTGCCCCCAGAACTGTCCTTCCTGAGGGACTTGTTACCACACAATTATTGACTGAAAGTTTTGCTCACCTTTCTTTCATCTTTCTTTCCATTCTTTGTCAACAAGAAACTAACAGATAGACTGTTGGATTCAAGTAGAATTACTATCTGTTGTATTCATATGCCTCACTGTATATTAATTACATGTAAAAATGTTGATGATTATTAACAGATATTTATTTTCTTGCAGAAAAGAACTTGCTACTCATTGCAACTATTCCATCCAGTTCCATCATTTCACATAGACAGAAGCCTGAGAAAAACTTAGGGAATAAGCTATACTGTAAAGTAAATTAATTAAAATATAATTAAAAGTGATAAAGTTACAGCATATGCCAACATCCATCAAATCTTGATTGGACATGAGTGAACTGGAATTTATTACGTGGTCAAATTTGAACAATTTTCAACAAAAAGAAAGAAGAAGCTTCTGCCTGACGAATACACATCAACTACTTTTGATCCAAATACTGAATCTTTCTTAGGAGTCTACAGTCCATATGTAGAGATTCTTTCCTAAAGTCTTTGCTTGGTTATGTGAAAATAAAATATCTTAGGGTTTTTTAACATGCAATGAAAATTAAAGAAGTGTGGCAGATAGATATACTACAAAGATGAATTTTCACTCTCTGAAGTACAGCAAATTAACAAATAACTGAAGTAGCTTTGGCTATTAACAAAACATTTAGGCAATCTCTAAATGTAGGCACTACCATATATGCTTATTTCTGTATACATCAAATTCTGTTCTCTGTTATAAATCACAGCCAATACCTGTCTACAAAATGAAAGAATTTTGGCCTAGTACCTCTTTGGGGTATCTCATTCTGTTAAATAACTTACTTCTGAGAAACTTAGCTAGATATTCACTGTTCAGTAACTCATGATTGCCTTTTTAATTAAAAGCTTGAACCTTACTTTATACTCATTAATCATATTAGATTGGAGTGTTGATATAGTGGGCATAGTTCACCTCTCAGTCACATTAATAGAAATTTTATTGAAATGCATAGTAAGTTGCTTGAGGATTTAGAAATTCTTCTTTTAGCTGCTCTATTTCCACATAGCCTAGCCTAATTCTGTACCTGATCACATTGCATGAGCAAAGCCAGGCTAACACAAAATGAAGCAGTGGGACATGAGACTCACTTGTACGCTCTGAGAATCTCTTTGCTTCATGACTGATGTCAAATGAGCTCCTTAGCTTCATCAGACAAGATTTGAACTCTGTCATGTACACAAAGCATACAAAGCTGAGGTGCAACTCAAGCCTTAATCCACACCTACTCATCCACCAATCTGAGTTATTTACACTGTGTTCTTCTACTTCATATGCCCAATAGCCTGACTATACAGATATGTGCTGTTTACTTTTAATAAGCATGGCTCCTTCAGTGAGTGTCCATTTTCCCACAAAAATCAGTATCAAAAGATGATTTCAGTGTTTCAGCTGAAACACTGGGTCTGACAAGTCTGGCTTTTATAAGAAATACAAGCCTGAGCCTCTGCTGGTATAAATCAACACAAGTCCCCACTGGAGCTAGGCTAATCTACACAAGAACAGGATCGAACTTTATGTATTATTTT